GGAAACCTTTCCACCCGGTTCTCCCCAGCGGCAGCTCTGCGCATCTCAGACTGCAGCGGCGCTTGTCTGCTGTGCGGCTGCCGGCTTGTGGAGGTCTCTGAGACCTCTGTGTTCCACCCGGTTTTACCCAGCGGTCAGCCCGGCGTATCTCTGACTCTGAAGCTCTGGTGTTGTGCACAGTTAACTCCGGTTGTAGCTAGGTTGCTACCTCCATTAGCTTAGCTCCCACCTCCGCGTTAGCTTTGGGGTTGCATCAGGTTAGCTTGTAGCTAGTTCGACCGGGTGTCGTCAGTTGATCCCAGCCTTACAGCCCCACTCTTAGCTCCACCTGCACAAGCTTATGGACCTGCTGTTCGACTCTGTGGTGGATCCTCTCCCATATCAGGAGTACTCAGACAAAATTCCTGTTCCAGAACCTCTCTGTGCCCAGTTCCAAAGACTTGATTAATCGGGTCACAGTAACAGGACACACACTGTCACAGACGCATGACATTCTGTCTCAATCTGTCCCCCGTCCTTATTCTGCACTTCAGGCTGTGTGCGTGCGCGCGCATGTGTGTGTACGCATGCGTGTGTGTGCCTGTGGGGGGTCTTGTTCTGTGTGAAAACGAAGCAGTACAAGTGATAATGCTGCAGGATTTCATAATTGTATCCTTCTCAGCAGCAGCACTGCAGGTGCTCTCCATGTCCAAAATGTGCGTAAGCCAGGTCCTTAGTCAACTTAAAGTTGCGCACATTTTTATGCTAAGTTTTCTTTCATGAATCCCAAAGTTTGCGTGGAAAGTTGCTTACGCAGTTTTCCGACCCCGTTTTGTGCCTAAGAAAACTTGATAAATGAGGCCCCTGACCTGTATTGGAATGTTTACCATGTGTGTTTGATTCTTTGCACTGATTGCCGATCACGCTTCAACTGAGTCATCCTCGGTCAGAAGGATTGGAACTCCACAGCAATGTAGTCCAAGTGGCGGCAGATGATATCAACAGGATGTACAACGTTAGCGGTGAGGCAATTGCAATTCTGTATACCAATGCAGGTAAAGGATTGTGAGTGTGTAGGAGTATGTAGGTGTGGTAATCCGTTAACAGACAGAACCAACATTCGTGTTAATCCTTATGAAAAGCAGTGTACCGTTTATATAGCACTGTGATTTCCAACATGACGTTATATAATCTGCTACAACCTCATAGCCACTAGATGCCACCCTAAACTATACATGAGTTGCTAGTTGGTATATGTATTCGCTAACAGCATCTCTACAGGTCTAATAATAAACACAGTAAACAGTTTCATCCACCTCCAACCACCATACTTGACAGTAAGTCGCATATGGAATGCCATAGAAGCTGCAACCAAGGCTGCCTGAAGTAGGCCAAAAGAACCCGCAGCTTAGCAATGGCAACGGGACCAGCTTCTTACTTAGCAAATTAAACCGCTCAACTCACAGATAAAGTCAAATAAGCATCACTCTCGTCTCATGATGCCCACATGATAAACACGCACACCGAGGGTAACTCGCACAGGAACGCACGAGAAAAACGCTGATCATCCAACACCTTTCAGCTGTGCTGAACTGCGCTAAACACATTCCCAACCGGAAGTACAGATACCGAGGTGCATCATGGGTAACGTAGTCTAAACGGTTAAAGTGACCAAGCGGACTTTTAACAATGTGAAGTGCCTTGAGACAACTCTTGTCATGATTTGGCGCTATATAGATAAACTTGAATTGAATTGAATTTTTTGGCCAGGCAGTGCATTGGTTTTTATAAAACACACAAATAATCAAATGTGCTCATTTAGAAAGTCTTGAAGGAATGTTTTTTTTTTTTTTTTTTTTTGTAAAACATGTTGGTTTTTCATAATCTTTTACCTCACCATGAATTTTAGATTTGTAAGCATAAACCTCATCAGCAGCAGGAATGCGTTGCTTTCCTTTGGTGTCTTCAGGATTCAAGTCTGGCAGGAATTTTTTATTTCGACAAAAACTGTTGTGAGATGCTGAATTTACGTCCATGTGGACGTTAAATAAAAATTCACATGAGTCTGTGTAATTTATAGACTTCAGATGTTTTAAAGCAACAGCAAAGATTTAGGCCTTGGCTGTTATCAGACTAGCTGTTAGCTCATCAATCCTGGCAGATGTAAACTGTTTCACCAAACTGAGGCTGTTCAGGGACCAGTTTCTACAGTGGGTGGAATAACTGACAGAATGACCGAATAAAATATTTGAAAGTCTAATAATTCTACTAAACATGCATTCTTGTTTTTACCGTCATTTTCCCGTAAAGCTGTTTAAAACGTGTTTTCTGTGGGATTTAACTCCCTACACAAATTTGTGGTTGCCGTGGCGTGGCCCCGATGATAAATTCTGGATGGTTTGTTTATTGTTGCTAAGCTACACACGCTCAAGAGGAAGTTTAACTGAGGTCACTGCGTGACTTCGTCAGCTCTGGCCCCCACCGTACGGGGGAACGGCCTGCACGGTTAAACTCTAGTGAGTCTTTTTGCACTTTTCTGCAGCCCATCAGTCTGCTCCATCCAGCTGTTGGCCCACAGCAGATGGGTGAAACACTATTATTCTTACATTACCTAATGAAAACAATGCCTCAATCTGATGCTGGAACAATTCCTCCCTCCCACCCCCTCACCCCACTCCTTGTGCTAAATAAGGACAGTTTTAGTTTGCAGTATTTGGAGACGAGGCATTACAAATCAAAAAGTTGAAGAGGATAAAGAAATGAATATAAATTGCTGTTAGACGCTGTTTAATTCAACATCTGTCTGTCGGGACAGCTGACACATTGCAGAAATCTCCTGACAGCACGCTCACCGATTGCACCACCTCCCCACCCTCACTGGCTTTTATGCTCCCCATGTCGGCCAGAACTATCGGCAGAAGTGGTGCTTTGCTGCCAGTCACGTTAGCAGCAGAGCGGCTCTACCAGATGATGAAATCTGACATCCTTGGAGAGCATCTTATGACAGGGTGCAGCGGCTCCATCCCGGCTGGGCCGCGGGTGCACGACGCTCTGCGGGGTGTGATGTCATCTGACTGGGACGCGAGCTGATAAATGGGGACCAGAGTTCATTTAATCCCCCGCTCCACATTGGAACATCATCTGCGCCCTTCAGCTGGTTGAACGGCAGAGGGAACAGGTGGAATTACCTCACACAGACTGGCCTTTGTGTTGGGTTTCTATGTCAACTCTGGTGCACATGCAGGTTGTATGGGAATATGCAAAAGTGCCGAGTCAGTGCCCAAGAAGCCAGACTTTCTTCTGATTTCTGAAGTGTTTTTGAATCATTGTTCTTCCAATTTCTGAAGGTGTTTTAAGAGGTTTTTCTGGGAGTTTTTTTTCTGTCTTTTCCTTATTTCCAGTCTAATAAATTGATTTTTTTTCCCCAGAGGAATAATGTTTGTGAACACAAGCTGTATAAATAATAGATTTGAGCTACTTTTTAAAATATTTAGTCTTATTGAGTCAAAATATCGAACACAAATGTTTTCCTTCTTTTTTAGGTATTTTTTTTTATTTGCATGGGTAAAACAAACAAGTTTTACAGAAAAGCGTCTTCTGCACCATGTTCTCAGGAAGTGAAAACATCCTCTCCTTCAAGGGGAAAGCCTGTATTTTCTTTTGCTTCAAGCGGTAATGCAAAGCAACACATTTGCAGTGTTTGTCGTCTTGGTCATTTGCATTCCTGGAAACTTCAGCTGTTGAAACCTGAGACGTCTGTTAGCCGTTCCTCCTTCCCTCGGCCAAACGTTCTGAGTTCTAAATAAGTCAAACTCTTATCTGCTGTAATGATCTAAATTGCATGTTATTTAATGAGCCATAAGGCGTAGGATTCCATAGGAAATATGAAATCCACCTCACGGATCTGTGAGTTATTTAAACCGGAAGATTGGAACTTTTAAAGCAGGGATTAGATAACCGCTTCGTATTCACTCAGAGACAACAGAAGAGAGAAAGTCAAGTTTATAAGTTAAGAATTTTATTACTAACAAATTAAACTAGACTGACTTTAAAACTAATTGTATGGTGTAAATAATGTGGATGAGACGGTGGATGGATGACGTGTGATGTTGATCAGAACCAGCAAATCCGAAGAAGCGATTAGTTCTGATGGGAACTGAAGGTGTTGTCTTCGCATTAAGCTTTGGTTAGGAGGTCCATAAACACATGAGACACCATTTGCCGGTCTACCTACCCTTCAGGAAGTCCTCTGTAGATCTGGAATGTCGAGATCTTAGCTTGACCCTCTCTGGAACCGAGCCGGTAGGAAAAGCCGCGGTTGCCTATCAGACCAGTCTGTGAGATACTTCCGGGTACACGACAATTTGTTGGCGTCTGGTGAGACCCAAGCCTGGGTCTTGATGGTTTAGCTTTTATTCTGAAAGGAACTGTTGCCACAGTTGGTATAGCGACAAATTTTTCAGCTTGTCGTTGGTTCTTTTTGGTTAAAGAGTAGAGATCAGGATTGGTCACTCCGTCACTTTCTCTGGAACGCTTTGAACTGGCGTTAGAGATGACGTGGCATAGTTTTATACTTCGGATGCTTTGGTTTATGGTTGAATGAAAAACTACCAAACACCATCAAAACCATGCCTCCGTCAGATTCTGACTGGCTCAGTGAAAGTAATGTTATGTCTTTTATCGCTACGTGAGATGAGTCCTGTTGGAACATTTAAAGTCATTGTATTTTCTAGGATTATAATAAAGTAATTAATATTTTGATATCACAGATCGGTCACATCTTATTTATTGACAAACACTTTGATGGATTAGCTTTATTAAAATAGAGTTCTTTGATTAATTCAAAGAAAAGAGTTCATTCTTCATTCTTCTGTTGAGCTGAAAATAAGCAGGTTAGAAGGAATGCATGAGACCTTGAGACCATATCTCATGCAGACTAGTCTTGTGCAGAGGAGGAAACACTGCCATCTTGCAGTTGAATCCTGATTAATAGTATAAATTAAAAATAAATTGTTTTGCAGCTTTTCGACCGAGTGAGAGAGGACAATCCCGATTTCCACCAGAAAATCATCCCAATCAGCAGCGAGCTGACGCAGCCCGGCCTCTCCATCAGCTCGGAGGATGTGGCGAAGCTCACCGCCTGCATCAACATAGTCTTCCACTGCGCCGCCACCATCCGCTTCGACGAGCCTCTCAAGTAAGCTCCAAATAACGCCCACCTTTATACCTTACATTACTCCTGGTTCTGTTTTATTTTGGCGAGGTGTTATTTGTTCCCGTCAGCATGAACTTCCTGTTGTCCCATTTGAGTAGGCTGAACAAGTTTTAGTGATTCAAAGAAAAGAGGAAGTGGTACCAAATAAACTCCTCATATGTTAGGTTTTAACACGACTGCGTTTACGGTCGTGAAATCTTTTTAAATTAGTGTTATTTTAACAGCAAATGTAAATTTTCACCAACTTGGTGGTATGTCTTGTATCTAAATTATTTTACTTGGTGTGGGAAACATTGTTGGGACAGGTTGAGCCGGGACCTTACAGACTAAAAACTACAAATAAATAAAACTATACAATAAAGGTTCTGTACTAGAGGAAATTAAGTCATTCAAAGGGAGAAATTCACTTTTAGTTACAAAAAATGAGCCGTAATCATTTGTTTTTTTATATAAAGATCATTTGATGTTTTAGGTTTCTGCAGACACACGGAACCCCGTTTAGGTTGTGATCACCTCCAGGGTTCGAAGATGTCTAATTTGTGTATTTGAGCTTTAATCTGACTCGATTCAGCCAATTAAAGCAGCAGAGAGGAGAAAGGGAGTCAAAACTGAGCGAGACTAACACAGGAGGAAGAGGAACGCTTTTGGACACAACACCGGTCTTAATCAGCTCTGTTGTGTGTTCTGCACTTACTTTAAGCTTAAGTCACATAAACTGTTTAACTGTCAAGTTTCCCACTTTTAGAAAAGAAAGTGAAAAATACTTTGATTTTAAAAACTGTAGGTAAATAAGTTCTGCACAAATAAACCAAACAGGATGTTTGACCTTTAACCTATTTTACCATCATCAGTTATTGATCTAATCCACATTTATCACTCACAAATAAACTTTTTATTCTTACAGTTTACTGTTTATCAGCTCAGATTTCTCTTGCAGTTTAAGAACGCTGAAACATCACGAAAGGCAGAGAAAACGTAACTAACTTATTCCAGCGCCGTGACCCGATCACGGCGTAGTACCAGAGGGGTCGTAAAAGCTGTTAGTAGAGCCGCCACTGAACTTTTCAGGACTGCGAGTCTAAAAAATTTGGGATTATTTTGTTTATTTTCTCTTTTCTGACCCAATCAGACGAAGTATTTTTGATACGACCTCCTTGCCTGCTGTTGGTGGTCGGAGGGACCGGTGGCGCCCGTGTATGGCAGCGTTGCCCCAGGGCAGCTGTGGCTACATTGTAGCGCATCACCATCAGTGTGTGAATGGATGAATGTTTTATCGTAGTGTAAAGTACTTTGATTCCTCTGATTCTGAGAAGTGCTTGTCATTTTTCAGGCTTAGTCCACATGGAGAATTATTAAAATTAAAACAAATTTGTGTGTTTAGCTAGCTTTAACGGGCTCCCAGTCAGTAGATGATTTATTTATTTTTATCAGTCCACTGCAGCGCGAGGACAAAAGCTTCATTTAGACGTAGAATCTGAGATCATGAATGAAATGTAGGAGTGGGAGGAGGAGGGACCGGGAACCCATAACAAAATGCTGAGAAACTTAAAAGGAGGAACTTTAAGGAATTATAAGCAACAACAACAACAAAGGCTTGTTTTGTTTCTGATAAATCCAGATTGTGAGTTTCTCCTCCATCCTTCTTTCGCGCCGCTTTTCCCGTCGTTTACTCTGAAGTCGATCCATCCTCTCACAGAGTTTTCTTCATCGTTACCATGTTGGGATTCAGATTGCAGCGCTGGGACATAAATCCGACTGAGACTCGCTCCAGGGATCAAAAATCATTACTTTAATGTAAACTTTGGAAATATTTTTAGTGATGGATGACTTTTATTTTAACATTTATTAATTATAGCTGAAAAGAAAATGACTAAAAATAACAAACATAAACGATCTTGAAAAACAAAGAAATTTGGCTAACAAGCTGATGCAGGCAAAACCATTATCACCAGCCCTTTAGCAACCAGTGATGAATAAAATAAAAGCCTTTTTGCTTTAAATATTCTGGGATTAGACCAGATTATTCAGTCATTATGAGATGGCTTGTTGCTTTGGGTCAGAGCTGTTCTGGTATCAGTTTGATTTCAACCACAGCAGCAAAGACAGATGGGAGATGACTCACCTGCAGGAAGAAACTGCAGTTTATCCTTTTTTTTTTCCTCCAACCTCCCTGCTGGTGCAGCAGCCTGCGTATGAAGGCAGGAGTCAGTGGGAGGATGTCAACACCCCCCTCCCCTAGAACTACCGTCCTCACCCTCCCATCCCATCTCAGCTGCACCAGTCGCCCACCACAGTTCCAGCTGATGTTGTTCATCAGCATGTTGGCTTCAGGTTAAAGTGGCTGACGGTTTCTTACTCAGATGTAGAGTGTGGGCGTGTGACCAGGAGGGGTGTTAATCCACTAACTGGGTTCATTTATGTATCTGTTAATCTTGAACCAATTACCCGAATCATTAGAAAAAATCAATAATTCATTACAACAAACCGTACCGTAAGGCTGGACGCCATATTGAGCAGTTCATCGATAACGAAACTTATAGTCGCACTAAGAGGGAGCAGCGGCGGTGGGAGAGTTGGTCGAGAAGAAGCCCGGTCCCACAAAAGTCTTTCAACAACCGTTTGGCAATATTTTAGATTTAGTTGTTGTCGCCTGCCCCTGCCCTACCCTCGGAGTGAACTCAATTCAAGATGGCCACCTCTGCCAACTGACATAGCAAACACGGCTGCAACTGCCAGTTTTACAGATAATCAGATTTGATGAGTCATTTGTAACTAAAAGTCGTTCATTTGCAGTTTTGCATCAAGTTTTGACCAAAACAGCGGTTAGGGTTGGTTAGTTAGTTAGTTAGTTAGTTAGTTAGTTAGTTAGTTAGTTAGTTAGTTAGTTAGTTAGTTAGATTTGCAGATAAGCTTCATCCAGCTCTGACCTTCAGCTCTTGCTGGGTAGGTTCGCGGCCGAGTGTGAAGCGGCTGGGATGAGGATCAGCACCTCCAAATCTGAGACCATGGTTCTCGACCGGAAAAGGGTGGCTTGCCAACTCCGGGTCGGGAGAGAGGTCCTACCTCAAGTGGAGGAGTTTAAGTATCTCGGGGTCTTGTTCACGAGTGAGGGTAGGAGGGATCGGGAGATCGACAGGCGGATTGGTTCGGCGTCTGCAGTGATGCAGACGCTGAGCCGATCTGTCGTGGTGAAGAGGGAGCTGAGCCAGAAAGCCAGGCTCTCGATTTACCGGTCGATCTACGTCCCAATCCTCACCTATGGTCATGAGCTTTGGGTAATGACCGAAAGAACGAGATTGCGGATACAAGCGGCCGAAATGAGTTTCCTCCGTAGGGTGGCCGGGCTCAGCCTTAGAGATAGGGTGAGGAGCTCGGACATTCGGGAGGGACTCGGAGTAGAACCGCTGCTCCTCCGGATCGAAAGGAGTCAGTTGAGGTGGTTTGGGCATCTGGTCAGGATGCCTCCTGGACGCCTCCCTGGGGAGGTGTTTCGGGCATGTCCTGCCGGCAGGAGGCCCCCGGGTCGACCCAGGACACGTTGGAGAGGTTACATCACCAATCTGGTCCGGGAACGCCTTGGGGTCCTGCCGGAGGAACTGGTGGAGGTGGCCGGGGAGAGGACGGTCTGGAGCTCCCTAGTTGGGATGCTGCCCCCGCGACCCGGATAAGCGGAGGAAGACGACAACGACGACGATTTGCAGATAAGCTAGGCCTTTCAGTCTCGGAATGATTGAATTCATTAATGTTGTATTTTAAACTTATTACTGTTTGAGACTGTTTCCAAGTTGAGCTGCAATCATCTGATAATCTGAATCAGCCGGTCTCCAGCATGACGTGTGTAATCTGTAATCAATGTCAAAGTCTTATTTTCACATGCGTGACATCACATTGATAAATTTATGCAAATCATCATTTTAAAGCTAATCGGAACGTTTTTCAGCTAAACATTATTGTTCCTGTTATGAAATGGACCAAATTTGTATCAGCAGGTCAAATCAGGACAAAAACCAGAATCTGTGCATTTCTGGTTTGGACTGCATGTTATTTTTAGAGGAGATTCAAAGCAAGATAAATTCATTACCATGTTTCTTTCAGTTTCTTGTTAAAATGTTTGTATTTTAAATTATATTTATCATTTATTCACTCGGTGACAAACTGAAAAGGCTTGAGCTAAATACCTCCAGAAAAGGCAAAACTGTCCAAAATTTTTCTGATTTCTTTACAGTTTAACCAGCAGCATGCTTCTCTCCAGGTGTGTAAAAAAAATAATAAAATAAAATGAGAAATGAACAAAAAGATTATCCGGCTTTTGGGAACTGCTGAATCCAGCTGATTCCGGAGCACTCCGGCTGGGTGAGGATGAGCCGATGACGGAGATCAGTGAAAATACAGAGATCTACATTTTTGTGAGGAAGAGCAGATGTTGGCCTTTTCCTCCCTGCTGTTCTGTCTCGTCATCACTCTCCCTCGTCTTTTCACGAGTCGCTGTCCTGCTGTGTCATTCTGCTCGTCTTAAAACTCTCCTCATTAGAGTGGAACGCTGCGTTGTGAAAATGCTCAAAGATGCTAAAGCGAAGGCTCCAACTTCAACACATACTTCCTTTTACCGTGGTCTCTCTCTCTCTTTCCTCGCCTGCAGACACGCCCTGCAGCTCAACGTGATCGCCACACAGCAGCTCCTCAGCCTGGCCCAGCAGATGCACCACCTTGAGGCCTTCATCCACATCTCCACCGCCTATGCAAACTGCAACCGCAAGCACATCGATGAGGTCATCTACCTGCCACCAGTCGAGCCCAAGAAGCTCATCGAGTCTTTGGAGTGAGTGGATTGACTCCTACTTCTGTTTGGCAGTAAAGGCTGCTTTAATTATCAACCTCTAACTAAAATATCACAGCTCTTTAATTACCTTCTGCCCTCCAAACCTGATATAAGTCATATTTAAATGAATTCGTCGAATAAAGTAATGAATATTGTTGGCCATCATGTTATGCAGAGCAGAGTTTCCTTTTGAAACCAGGGAACCCTGACAGGACCCCTTTACTCTTAACTGGGGCAGAGTCCCGCGATGGGGCGAGTACTCACGGGTGACCTACACAAAATTAGTCTCACGAGTAGAAAAATACATAAATTAAATTTCTCTTGTCTGGGCAAAATATCTTTAAAGGGACATTATGGAAGTTTGACAGCCAAAACATGTATAGAAATAATAAATGTCTTCTTCATACATTCTCCTGCAATGCCCTGGTCCTGTAGAATGAGCCCTGGCATTTTTACTGTGATTGCCTGTTTTTCTGTAAAATCACAGAAAAAGAGAGCTGCTCGGGTCGAGCAGACTGCTTCATGCGTGTTCACGCTCAGGCATCGCCCGTAGCGTTTGCTATCCGTAGCTTTAGTCTTTGTCGCTGTTCCTAACGCCTAGTGATGAACCTAGCTACATTTCTGAGGACCCTTAGCTACTTTCTGTAGAACTTTCTTCTAGATATTTCCTGCAAATTAGCAACAAAATAGCCATTTTCACTCCGAACCGTTCTTTGAACGTTGTTTCAGCTGTCATCAAGGATATAAATGTTACAGATGCAAAAGACGTCACTGGCGCTTTAGCTCACCTAGTAAGACGTCGTACTCTCATGCAGGAGTCCTGGGTTTGATTCCGGACGTGAACATAGTTCATTTAGAGTTTCTTTTTTACATTAATGGTATATTTTTTTCCAGTTAGATGCCCAAATTTTTATTTGAGACTCGCCGAATGGCATTGAATTCACAGATAAAAAAGATGTGGGTTCAACTTTCATTTTGGAACAATTTTTCAAGCAAGGGAAGGGAATGATCTGAGCATGCAGGAGGACTGACCCATCATAAACCTTTGTCGGCTGTGCTGAAGAGAAAGGTACAGAACCAAATTATTTAATTAATTAGCTGCGCGTTCTCCTGTCCTCTGTCCTCCGGGACACGGACACACACACACACACACACACACACACACACAAGGGACTGTCTCAGTTGTTATTTTCGTTAAGGAGTGTGCACGTACAGGATGTGCGCCTCGTGCACGAGCCTACTATTGAAGCTGCCGTTACACTTTTGGCCTGAGGGGGCAATCGCGAGCATAAAAATTCGAAACTCCGTAAAGTCCCTTTAATGCAGTTTGAAAACAGTGGACCCATGCAGAATTCAGCAGTTTTAGGGCCTCTGGGTCCAATCTTTAAGGATATACGTAATTCACCACGAGGTGTCTCCAGACAAGAGGCCCGTTTTGAAGCTAGCCCCCTCTAAATTGAACATCTGGCATTAAAGTGATGGCTGAAATAAGTTAAACGTCTGATTTGGGAGAAACGTAAATTCTATAGTTGATCTTGTTCCTGTCGCTGACACGACCTCAGGTGGATGGACGACGGGATCGTGCGGGACATCACGCCGCGGCTCATCGGCGACAGGCCCAACACATACACCTACACCAAAGCCCTGGCCGAGTATGTGGTGCAGCAGGAGCAGGACAAGCTCAGCATCGGCATCATCAGACCCTCCATCGTTGGAGCCAGTTGGCAGGAGCCGTTCCCAGTGAGTCCGCTCAAATGTTTCCTCGTCTTGGACATAAAAACCACCGGGGTTGGGTAACTCTGCTGTTTAGATCTTCTCATCGGCCACCGTTGCTCACTGGGAGAATCTCCTGAACCTCTCTCTGACACCAGTGGTAAATTTTAATTGATAGTCATGAATCACGAGTCCTCCTGCAACAGTAAAAGGAAATAAAATATCGATTGGCATTATCCCGATAGTCAAAAGCGCTCCTCCTATGGCTTTTTATCTGACCCTGTCCACAAACTGGCGAGTATCAGGTGCTGACGACCTGCGCTTCTTAACCCTGTCATCTTTAATTAAACCAAACAGCTGCAGGCGGGCGATGAGGACACAGAGGCTGAAGGATCAGACAGACTCACTGAGAAGAGCAGAGGAGCTCAGCGTGAGGGATTAAAACGTAAACCTGAACAATGAGCTCTTTCTACGATTAAGCTGCTTTCAGGATACCTGCTACAGGCGTCCGGACATCTTCAGCATTTAGGATTCATCCTGCAGCTGCTGCATCGAGTCTCTGCTCTTAGATCAGACACAGACTTTTAGAAATGTGCAGGTGCCTCCAAGTACAAGTTTGTTTTAACCCTAGCCCTAATCCACAATTAAAAAACCCAGATTCAAGCTGTTAAAGCAAATTCGGGAAACAAATTAGCTTAAAACATGTGTTTCATGCCTCTTAACAATGTTCTAACATCGTATATCTTTAAATATGTTGTGGAGATGAAAGCAAAATGTTATAAAGTGGTTCTCTTTCATTTGTCTAAAAATCTCCACCAATAAGACCGCCGCGACAGAACACCACTGGTGAGAGGTTCTCCGCTCAATATCAGAGGAGGAGAAACATCTGGCTGCTACTGCTTCAACTCGAGTCCCAAAAAGAAAAACACCATTTGAAGTCACGGAAAACAACAGACGTACGGACCTAGAGAACGGCGACTAGTGTTTAGCACCATCTCGTTTCCTCTGGCAGTGTGGGTTTCCGGTTCCAGCAGAAGCGTGTCAGGGAAGGGAGGGGTGAGTGTTCCATGATCGCGTTTACGCTCTATAGGGAAAACCTGTTTGTTCTGTAGATTTGCCGTGGACTTTTCCTTGCTTTAAGATTCTGAAATGAAGCCAAAACACAAATAAAACATTCAGCTGCTGTTTCAAAAGTTTAGAATAAACTCAGATGCTCAAAACATAAAACAAGGAACAGAAACCAAATGATGGTTCTGATTCTAAAAGTGTTGTAATGCATCTGAGTCAAAAGTTCATCGTAAATATCTTTAGCATATCCGGTGGCACCTTGAGGCTGTTTTTGGGTGTTGTTAAAATGTCAGAATGAAGACTCCTGGTTGTTCTGGGGAGTTTTGTGTTTCTGTGATCTCCACCAGTGACAGACTCTTCTAAAGGCCTGGCTCTCGCCGGCCGCCGCGTCGCCTCAGCAGCTCCGCGTCAGATCACCAACCAGATTGGATGGAAAAGCTTGTTTGCGTTCTCGTGGGCATGTTGTAGCGTTGTCGCTCTGTCACTTTGTGGCTGCGTGTCTTTGGAAATCGCTGCAGGATGATCGTTTTCTACGCGGCACATTATTAGACTGTCTGAGCTTCACCTCCAGCACTCAGAGGCCCCGGCCAGCAGCCCGTTTCCAGTAGTCTCATTCATTTTTAATGGGGTCTAATTGAAGTGGACAATCACCGCCGCCTACCTCCCCCGTTTCCCACCGCCACAGGAAGTATTATAACCCACATTGCTGTCTCCTCCGCCTCACAGCTGAAATCAACTCTCTGAAAGCTCTCTGAGGATTTTCTCTGCTCTCACACCTCAGGGTTGGATTGACAACTTCAACGGGCCGAGCGGCGTTTTTATAGCTGTAAGTAAACACGCGCCGCCTGAATCCTTTGGCTCCTGATTCATTTAGGTGCCTAAGAATGTGTCGTGTCCTCAGGCGGGGAAGGGGATCCTGCGCACCATGAGGGCCAGTAACGACGCGGTGGCTGATCTCATCCCCGTGGACGTGGTCATCAACCTGACTCTGGCAGCTGGCTGGTACACGGCGGTGCACAGGTGAGTCTGAGCGCCGTTTTCAGTCAAAGGAAGCGAGTTTGTGTTTTATGACTGAGTTTAGAGTTACAGCCTGTTGGAATCAGGCAGCCGAGCTAAAGTTTTAGGTGTAAGGTACGATTTTTATTAGATTTTTTTCATGTTTTTTTGTATCCCCTGAAGTTTTTTTTTTTACAAGAAAACTTATTAATTTAAAATAGCCAAATAAATCTAAAACCTGGACCTTTTCGTTCATAAATAACAAAAATAAACGAAAATATCCTTTTATTCCTGCTAAAGAAGAAACTTTTGTTATCAGGTTGCAGGAGGGGTTGGTCTGCAAGTGTAGACTTAATTGTGGATGCGAAATTTAGGCTCAGGTGTTTAATTGAAGGTGTGGTTCACTTAAAAAAACTTGTTTCTAATTTAATATGTCTTAATTATTTCTATTTTCATTCACTTTGAGGTTTTCATGCAGGCTGAACATGAAAATGGTCTCCTACACATATCCTGCTTTAGCTTGTGAAAGGAAATAAACAGTGAAGCTCTAGGTTTGAAAATCCTCACAGACCTACATCACACTGTCACTTAACTCACCCATCATGACTCGTGGCGGGGAAGGCTGTTCTCGGTTTAGCGTCCAGGAAACGGCAGAGAACATCTCGGCTAGTAGAAGCTAACATTCGCAACACCACCACATGACAAAACTCTTCTCCAGGCTTGTGTTATTTGTGGTGATGAAACATCAGTGTATCAAAGTAAACTGGGTGAGTGGTAGCGTCACGTTGCTGTTAGCGAATCAGAGGTAAGATGTCCAAAAATCGGAACAAAATACTGCAAATCCTGTCGTCTGAAGCATAGACGTGAATACTTAGACATGCCATTTGGTGCTGGGGAGCATAACAGTGTCGCCGCCATATTGGGTGGGTCCATCACACTCTAAACCCAACTGGAGTCAATGCAGAGTGAGCAACGATGCAGTTTTTTTGTGCCACCTACGGTTGCAACAACCGGTGCACTATTAAAATCCGATCACGTGGGACTTTACTAACCTTCCTTGGGATTTTATCAGTATTCTTTTTTAATATTATTTTTTATTATATATATTAATTATAAAGGAGCGCTTTGTCTCTATATATGGAGTTAAAATATGGAATAAGTTAAGTAATGTAATCAAGGATGCAAAAACAATATTTACTTTCAAAAAGCTAATTAAAAATGAAATACTGGAATCATATACGTGCAAATCAGTTATATGAAAAAAGGGAAATAAATAAAGCTATAGAGATGTGCGTAGGTATAGTCATGTGTGTATGTATAAACATGTATGTATGCATGTGTATATGTAGTGGATACGTGTGTATGTCTATATGTATAGATGAAGTATGTGCGAGCATATGGGCATGCGATGCACTTTAATGTATATATGTATGAATAGGTATATGTGCAAAAATCCTTTTGCTTTTTGAATTGTTATTATTACTATTAATTTTCTCTTTCTTCTTTACAAATTGAACTCAAGTCAGCTAACCAGTCGAGCAATTACTTTGTATAGGCTAATTTATAATTATTGTTATTTCAGTGTAAAAATGTCATTTTAGTTAAAAAGGGGCAGATAAGTTTTCTTCTTTCTGTTCCCTTTTCATTTTCTTGGTTTGAGAAACCTCATTTTATTTGTTAGTATTGTTTTTTTTTTCTATTTTAATAATAAATTAAATATATTTTAATTTTCATGCCATATGTCTGATTTTGTAAAAATACAAAACAAACAAAAAAATAAAACATAATAAAAATGTGTTTTTTAGTTGGTAAACACCTTGCTCAGTAGAAGTAAATGCACCGGGGTCGAATGGAGACCACTGCAGATTCATTAATTAAATGAGTGTTCCACACCTTTAAAGTTGAATGGAATTTTTTTTATGTTTAAAAAAATCCTGCCTATTTTATTTATTTAAAACTTTTTTGTCCACGTTCAAATCCCAAATCGGATAACTGAACTGCTTGTTTTTCGCTAACAGCTGAATAATTAGCCTCTTTGAAAAGTTGGGGGGGGGGGGTACCACAATTCCTAAAAAGCAAAGCGGTCCAGCTGGCGAAGGGAAGCGGGTGTGGCACTCAGAAATCCTGTTTATAGCTGTACAGCCTCCACTTTCTGCCCGAGGTTTTTCCAGCCTTAGTCACTACTCCTCTCTCCTCAAATGTTCCGTACTCGGAGTGATTTCGTAAAAGCAGCCCCCCCCCCCCCCATCTAAAGCTACATGGACATTCCTAAAAACCCACAGATTTAATGAATCCTCTCTCGTGTGTTTGGAACCTCACCATGACTTTGACCTCCCGCAGACCTAAAACGGCTCTGGTGTACAACTGCACGACCGGCGGGATCAACCCATTCCACTGGGGAGAGATCGGTGAGTTAACAAGACCCCACGGATATTTATAGAGCTGTTTCTGACTCCTGTGTCTCTGCTGGCTTTTATCATCACACACACATCAGTAAGCCACAGCGGTGACATAATGTCATCTGGGGAGGAGGCCGGCTGCCACCTACTGGATATGGAAGGAATAATTTCAGGTTCAATGTTTATTTAGCTTCCTGATTGGTGAATGTTGAAATGATCCCTAACATAACAAATTTCAGAAGACCGTGATCTCTGTGATTGGCCATAAATTACTTTTCTGTTCAGCTGTAAGTTGTTTGAATAGTTAAATGACATTTTAATCCCTCGACACTATAAACTCTTGGATGTGCACCACATTTAGGAAGTGCAGAATTCCAACATCATTTACCGTACCATACCATATTTATTTATAAAGCACCATTTCAGAATAGCATGGCAGCTAACCAAAGGGCTGTACATGAAAAAAGCCAAATGCTTGACCAAGAAACACAATAAGAACAGGCAAAATACATAAGAACAAAGCATAAATAGTCAGAGATAAAAATTCCTACTAAAAACAATAAAATAGGAGAACAGTTAACAGCACTATAAAAACTAAAATAATGTGACGAATGATAAAAACATTTGAAATAGGACAAATAAAACCAAATAAGCTACCAGATGGTGCAAGGTGCCAAAAGTGTGCTACTGAATCATAAAAACGGAATTAAATAATCAAATCCGGTGCTGGATTTTCATGAAAAGTGTCACGGAGGGAAGGGAATACTAAAGAAGTGCGTTTCCGGGGCCGACTTGAAACTGCTAACAGAGGGAGCCAGACGCACACGGAGGGGCAGAGAGTTCCAGAGTTTTGGGGCTGCATAAGAGAAGGCACGCCCCCCCCGTGATTTGTACCGAACCTTCGGAACAACAAGCAGCAGATGATCTGCTGACCGAAGGGCACGGGTGGGAACATACGGGGTCAGCAGGTCCGTCAGATAGGATGGGGATGGGCAGTACAAAGCCTTGTAAACATAACAAGATCTTGAAGATAATCCTAAATTTGACTGGGAGCCAGTGTAAATCTGCGAGGATGGGTGTGATGTGCATGCGTCTGTCGGTGTTGGTTAAAAATCTGGCCGCGGCATTTTTAACCTTCTGCAGGTTGCTTAAGGCTGAAGCATTAATCCCAGTCAGGACAGAATTTGCGTAATCCAGACGTGAAGTAATGAAAGCATGAATGACTGACTCAAGATCCGGGCGTTTGAGGATTGACTTTAGACGAGTGATGCGGCAGAGTTGGAAAAAGCAGGACTTGACAGTAGCGTTGACTTGTGAAGACATTGAAAGGTCAGAGTCCAGTTTCACACCTAGGCTAGTGGCACATGATTTGAGATTGAGTGGGAGAGTTGAGACATCTAAAGCACCATTCATGTTAGTGGGGCTAAAAAGTATGGCATCTGATTTGCTGTCATTTAACCGTAGGCAGTTTTGAGAAAGCCAGGATCTGACCTCCTTATCTCTGTGAATCAGAAATGTTCTCACTCACATGAATCCATGTTGCTGCAGATCTCATTATGAAGTCTGCATGTTTAAAGCATAGTTCTGATTGGCTGGACGTCAGAGGGACCCTCAGATTAACCAACACGCTCCTTTCACCACGGAAATTGCTACCAGATGGCTGGAGGCTGGATTAGTTCTCGTCGCTGCAGCTCGATGTTGTGACTGCAGCCTCTCTGCTCCAGATGTTCCAGCCAGTTATAAAACAGGAGGATGACTATAGAAGCCCTCTAGTAATAAAATAAAGTTACTGCCTCAGAAAAAAAAAAGACTAAATGAAGATTTGGCTGCTCGCTTTGGGATAGGCAGGTTTGTGTTTGTGCCCATGGTCCCATCCAGCCATGCTGTCACCTCAGATCGGCTCTCCTCAACCCCTGCAGCCACTACATATCTGTTGCCATGGAAACAAAACTCACAAGGCCTAGTTTAAGTGTGATGTAATGTCTGCAGTCACATGGCAGCTCCTGCATCTGTTGGGAGGGGGGGTTGGTGAGTGGCAGCTCTCTGCCTGAGTGACGGGATTCCTGGAAGTTCTGATCTGTGTTTTAAAAATGAAAATCGGTGTGTTTGCCTGCTTCAGGCCTATAGACCTTAAATCTTAAGTTTAGCACTTTTAAAATCCTGTTTTTATTATAAATATTGAGTCAAAGCTCAGCGACCTTCATCTGAAACTAAAGGATTCTCAGAGCGTTGTTTAAACAAACTCATCATTTTGATCAGGGCTGCAGGAAAACGGGCATCAAGCATGACTTTGTGCCCCAGTTGTCTGTTTAGGACTCAAAAACCAAAGATCAACCAAAATGAAACTTGTTTTTATAAAAACATAATTCAAACCAAACTGAATTCTCAGATCTATTATCTTCTTATCCCGACATTTCTGCCCTCATCCTCTGGCTGAACAGAGCACCACGTGATCTCCTCCTTCAAGAGAAACCCTTTGGAGCAAGCCTTCCGCCGGCCAAATGCCAACATCACCTCCAACTACCTGATCAACCAGTACTGGATCCTGGTCAGCCACAAGTTCCCGGCCTTCATCTACGACCTCTTCCTCCGTCTGTCTGGACAGAAGCCGCAGTAAGACCTCCAGCGGTCGGGGCCGCTGCGTCTTTTTAAACTCGCCACACCTCCATGTGTGTTGTAACCGGCGTCCGTCTCCTCCTGCAGGATGATGCGCATCTTCAACCGCCTGCACAAGGCCATCAGCCTGCTGGAGTACTTCAGCAGCCAGGACTGGGAGTGGAACTCCGACAACATGAACATGCTGATGGGCCAGCTGACCCCTAAGGACAGGAAGGTGGGGTTACCATGGGTTAGCCATGTTTCTGTCATTTCCTAATGAATAGGATTCAGATTTACCGCAGTAGCTTAGATATATTTTATGGATGTTGCTGTGATAAATTGGAGCGTACACATCATCTGTACCATGAATAGAAGGTTTCTTTTATTTTAAGCTGTTATTGATAAAAGTGTGTGATTTATGGGCCTTGAGTGAGTGGGACAGCTGAACTCATGTTTGTTTTACTCCAGATGTTTAACTTTGATGTGCGTCAGCTGAACTGGCCCGAGTACATCGAGAACTACTGCATCGGCACCAAGAAGTACGTTCTGAATGAAGACATGTCTGACATTCCTGCTGCCAGGCAGCACCTGAGGAAGTAAGTTGCCTAAAAGGGTCATTTTAGTGCGTGTGTTTATTTTTGGCTTATTAAATGCAAAATTTTCATGAATGAAAAAAAAATCCACATTGCTGAATTTCATAACTTTTTTTGTTGTTAGATTTATTTGTTGGTTTGGTGATCTGACACTTTATGTGGACAGAATAATAGATCTGAAGATCCTCCTCCTGCTGTGTAATTGACCTAAACCGATTTGCTCATTTTATGCTTATTTTCTATGTTTTTTTTCCTTCATAAATCTTTAAAATATCCAGATCCTTCTTGTAATTATAAAAAATTTCAGAATTCTTCTGCTTTTTAGCAGTGTAGCTCAGGGGCGTGTCCAGGGAGTGGCCTGGGTTAGCACATGCCACTCTTGGAATCTGATTGGCCACCCCAGGTGCCACCACACTAAATTACCATTAAATAGGCTTTTCATTGCCCACAAAAGGCTTGGGGGTAAAACAAAAAAAGCATAACCATTGGTGCCACCCATGCACAAAGTTGTGCCTTACCTGGGCCACCCCATTTTAAAAGATCTGGACACGCCACTGGTGTAGCTTGATAGAACGGTGGATGTGAGTGTGTTGCTGCAAGAGGGCTGGTCAGATATGGGTTAGCTACTCCTCCTCTTGTGGAGTTTGTTATTGTTTACATCTGGTTTGGACAACACTGACGGCCAGTCTGTTACTGGATGAAGTATTGAATCAACGGCTGATGGTCAACATGATTCAAAATGGCCTCAACAGCTAATCGGCATCAACAGTCTCCTAATTGGATGTAAATTGGTTAATTATAGAGATATTGAGCTATTGCAATTATTCCTACCAACACAAACTGAATGCTAATGGATCACACAAGCTCTTGTGTTGCAGGAAGTTCGCCATTTTCTAACAGTAAAAAAAAAAAAGTACTTGTATATGGATGAAACTTTAGTGGTCCAGAAAGTACATTTAAGACTAGATACCAGTATTTTCTCACACCGCCTCTGTTTTTTTACTCTCCCAGGCTCAGGAACATCCGCTACACCTTCAACACACTGTTAGTCGTTTTCATCTGGCGGGTGTTCATCGCCCGCTCCCAGATGGCCAGAAACATCTGGTACTTTGTGGTTAGCCTCTGTTTCAAGTTCCTCTCCTACTTCCGTGCATCCAGCACCTTAACCAACTGAGTCTTCCTCACCGCCCAGAGCCAGCGACGGCAGGCCTAGCCTTTAGCCGTCAGCAGGGAAAATGTCTGAGTTCTCAGTGTGGACAAATGGGGCTCTCTACGGGAGGGGGCTGCAGCTGAGTGAGGCACTCAGAAGGAGAACAACGAGGTCTACTAGCCATGAAATTGTTTTGTTTGGAAATGTGTCATCGGTACCTAAACTCCTCAGTGAGAGAACCCATCCAGCGAAGTGTTGTCCTTCATTTTGTACCTAATGTTTTCTTCGAAGTGGCCAAATATATATGCAACAAAACGCCTTTCGTGCAACTTCTAGATTCTTCTCCATCCTCTTGAATCTCGATACGTTACATTGCCTTGTAATGCTTTTTCCTCCCCTTACTTGAATTTCATCATCATGTCACAGAACAATTTCTTTTTTACAGACAGAAACTGTATTCTTTCTCTGATTGAATGATTGATTTAGATATCTCCATTTTATCTAGACTTGTACTTCTACTGCCTTTCGAAGATGACACTGATGGCCCACTTCTCCTCCTTCTCAAAGCCAAAACACGTTATTCAGACGAGTTTTAAAGCTAAACTCCAACCACACCACATGGGATATCTGCCAGCTATGCTGCAGAGTTTGTCACTAATGTGTTGTCATGGTAACAATGTCAGTATGTCTATGTGGTTGTCTACTTTGGGCCTGTTTGTACAGCAGTTTGTACGGAGCTACGTTTGCTACTTTTACATCTTTATACTTGCATCAAAGGCTAGTCTTAGAGTTGGCCCTTGGCAGTGTGGTGTCTATAAATAAAAGTACATCAGAGTGATGTTTATTTATAACTTACTATACAATGATCCTCATTAAGGTTCTTAACAAGCTAAGAGAATTACCCTCAGAAAAATAAACGGGAACTATTTGAGTGAACGTTGCTGCTGTTTGAAATGCCAAATGAAGAATTGTAACCCAAATTCAATAGTTTTATACAAAGTATAAGAAGTTTAAAGTCAAAGGCACGGCTTAGACCGAGCAGTTGGGGGAAGGAGGAGGCTTGAGTCACCTTAAAGATTTCTGTCCAATACGATATAAAAGCAGCTGGTTACCCAGAGCAGTGGTTCCCAATCTGGGGTCCATGACCCCCCAAAGGGTTCCCGCTAGATTGCAGAAGGTCACAATCTAGTCTCTGCTGAGGTTGTGAGAGTTATAACTCTGTATAACAGGGTCCCTGTGGGAAAAAAGGGTTGGGAACCACTGCTCTAGATAATCCACACAAGCAGGGAAGGAATAAGCGATGCTTAAAGAGGCCAAAACGTGAAGATCAGTGACTGACTGGAGATGAGCAGCACTTACTTTTCCCCTTTGCCAGGAAAAAAAATCTTCTACAGATGTGGACTGCATGTTAATTCTCTTCAATCAGATTTAAATGTTAAAAGATTGACCCACCTGCAGATGAACTGTAAATGAGCTAACTACATCAAGAGAAATCTAAGGGACCGAGTACAGAGCCATGAGGGATGCCGCACGATACTGAACAGAAAACTAGAGAGCTATTTATAAATAATAAAACCACAGTGAGAGTTGGTGAACTAGACCCACGTTTTAGACCAGCCTGGCATCCTTCACCCCAGTTCTTTCACATGGTTTCCATAACAAACAAACTTTTTAGTTTGACTGCTTTTGATTTGCTTTTCGCTTGTTTTCACAGAGCTTCCCTCTTGTCTACTAAGTGTTCAGTGTGACGGGCAAGTCTTGTGTTGACTAAACAAATTAGGTGAAACTGCAGTATTCGTGTCCACTGACGTTTGACTAAATAATCACAAGGCTTCATGGGAGAAAAAGGGACAGAAGTGTTTTATGCAAAACTGGTGTCTGGTCTAACCGTCTGTCCAAAGCCTGCAATGAAGCGATTTTGTGGAGTTGTCCTCGAGGAGCTACAGGGCTATATTACTGCCGTGTCCGTTTGGTAACACAACACCGCTGACTAAACGCAGAGATGGGACCAAGGATCTTATTCTGACTGGTTGTCATTTAGCAAATGTTTTGACCACCTGTGTTTCCCATTCAGATAACACTGAAACTCTGCTTGGCAAAACTGAAATAAAGGACTTTTTTTTATTAAGTGCTACCAAGCTGCTGTCTGTTGCACTGAGAAAGTGAATTTCTCCTGTTTGTTAGATTTACAGGATTATTTCAGTCTAACGTGGTGCTATTTTCTCTGGTTTGTGTATCTGATCATCTTTTAGCCACATATTTAAGGCCCATTTATGATGCTGCATCATTAGTCTGTTGGGAGTTTAGTTTCGTTAATGAAAATGTTTGTTTGTGACTTTTTGGTGCTTCCTGATTGGTTGATAAATCCTTAGAAAACCATCAATATTTCATAGATTTGCTGTGAAACAAACCTTAAACACATCAAGATTGTCAGAATTTATTGTTGGGGAAAATCAACACAAAACAGCAATTATGAGACTAAATGAATCCACAGACACTAAAACACAAAATGCTGTCACTGGGTAAGCGTCTTCTAAAGTGCAAAGCTGTGATTAATAAACTAAAAACACACAAATGTGCTTTAAAATGAATATGAAATGTCTGATAGTCTGAGTGCACATGTGTCCCACAGGGAGGAGGAGGTTCGTTTCTTCTTTTTTGCAGGTTTTTGACAGGCCGTCGACTGAAGTTTCTACTCCAGACCAGCATTTCCAGCCAGGAGAGGTGATTGGTGATTGGTCAGATTATTCATCTGGTTGTGCAGCAGCGAGTCCTGGAAAAGGTTCAGTTGGTTTAAAGAAAAGTCTGACACAGAAGATGTTTGTTTTTTGTCAAGACTCACCTCTCTGGGCCGGTAGACTCCTAATTTGAAGCGACAGCAGATGACATTAAAACAAAAGCCCACGAGGCTGTGAAGCATGCCTTCAGGGACAAAATTATCAGTTTTATTTTGAAAGGCATTAGAAGTAAAGGTTGCATAGTGTCTTATCAGCATCTGGCTGTTTTGCTGTATGTATAGATGTAAATATTCTAAAAATGATTAAAATCTGTATTTTTAAATCCTTACCTGTAAATTTAATGTTTTGCAGATTCAGGTTCTGTAATGGAAGCCTTTACAATGAAATTATTCTGGTATTTGGTATTTTCCATCCCCACAAAGATCATAATTGCTATGGAAGCCCATTCCTGCTACTCAGATAAAAAATAAATTGTCTCAATTGTGACTTAGCCATCTCAATATAATGAGATACTATCTCATAATTATGAGATAGCTAAGTCATTATTATGAGATATTTTTTAATCTGAGTGGTGGGAATGGGCTTCCATATAATTCTTTTTAATGCATTTAAGGAAAACTTTATATGACTTATTTAGAAAAAAATTAGATAAACAGGATCTAATGCTGAAAACGAGCTGGAACTGGATTTATTTGACAAATGTTGGAGTCTGTAAATAACTGCAGCTGCTTAGGTGTATACAAATCTACTTAATGCATAGATTTTAACATTTTAAAGCCATTAAACCGGAAAAATTACCAGCATTTTAAAGGATTTGGGACAAACTTACGAATTTTACCTCCTAAATAAGTGTTTGGAAGGTTTATGCAACCATGTGTCCAAAAGATCTAAATCAAAGTTAATATAAAGAAATTCTCCAAAATTAAATAAAAAAATAATAAAATTGGTAGTTGTGAATACATTGGACGAGCGAATGAGGTGAATAAAGACGTCCAGAGAGAATTTTTGTCGTTGAATGCTTTTAAGTGTCTTTTGTTCCTCATTTTAGGTTTCATTTCTTGTAAAGCCGTATACACCTGTTTAAAAACATCAAAAGTACTTTTCCGTTAAAACTGGCCTGTTGTGGAGAAAATGCCTCCGATGATCCCACTCAGTCGCACCAGGAACTGCCACAGCGGCATGTGCTGCTCGCTGACCGTCACCATCAGAGAGCTGGTGTCGTACTTCACAAAGATGCCGGAAACGCCGTGACTGCCAGCAGCGTGGTTTATCATCCGCTCCTTTCATAAACAACAACAATGGAGGATTAGTTTCCGCTCTTCTTTCCCATCACGACATTCCTCGTCGCGACCACTCACTCGTTCGGTCACGGAGAACTGGTGCGTGTCTGCTGCTATCTCGTAGGTGTTCAGCTTGGTGGGCACCACAGTAATGAAGTACTGGTACATCTGGTTATCTGCATCAAACCAAAGAAAAAAGTCACACTGTTTGTTCCACTTCAATTCAATTTTATTTCAAGCGCACAAAAAGCAAAAGAAAGAAAAAACAATGCACAATATATCGAACATAAAACATTTCGTAAAAAGAATACATACGACATTTTTATAGTCACTGCTGCTTGAAATGGAGTGGGCTGAAGCTTAACACTTATTACTTATTATTTCCCCCCCCCCCCAAATTCTAATATAAAATTGCAGTACATTAATTGAATCCATACATTTTACAAAACCAAAAACATATTACTTTACACAAAATTGTGATAAGTCAGCAATAGCATTTCCAAAGTATTAGGAACAAAAATTTCCAACAGAACTTTCTCCCAGTCATACATCCTGGTTAACTTCACATTTCCACTTCACTGCCCTTCATTTTTATAACGCAAATAAATTATTTCTTTAAATCTCTCCCTGAATTGTTTTATATTTAAACATTCCTTAAGCTTTATATTTAAGTTACTCCACAATTTCACCCCATGTACAGAAGCACAAAAACTCCTCGTCCTACGATATAAAATTTTGTCTTCCTCTTAACACGTACCCTCTTTCCCTCTGAGTAAGTTTTGAACATTAAGAGGTAAGTCTTTACACTTTGCCCTAAATGAAATTTGAACTGTCTGTAGATCCACTAGATCTTTAAATTTTAATATTTTGGACTCCAAAAAAAGTGTATTGGTATGAGCTGTAAAGCCCGCTCCATGAATAATCCTCAAAGCTCTTCTGTAAAATAACAAGTGGCTGCACCGATGTTGCATAATTATTTCCTCAGACTTCTGCACAATATGTGAAGTATGGCAAGACCAATGAACAACAGAGCATACGTAGAGACTTCTGATTGAAAACTTGCCTTGCTCTACTGATTATTGCTATACTCCTGGACACCTTGCTCCTTACATGGCTAATGTGAGGTTTCCGGTTCACTTCACTATCACTTAGAACTCCTAATAATTTTATTTCCTTAACATTTTCAATATTCACTCCGCCTATTTTAACTTTGATTTTCAAATTGTTTCGACCACTTCCAAACGTCATTGTTTAAATTTAATGATAATTTGTTTGTATCAAACCATAATTTGATCTTTTCCAATTCCTTATTTATCTCCTGCACTAACAACTGAAGATCACTGCCTTAGCAGAAAATATTTGTGTCATCGGCAAACAACACCCATTTTACTTACACTTGACATAAATCATTAATATAAATTAGAAACAATATTGGACCCAACACTGCCCCCTGTGGAACACACAAGAATTTTCCAAACTATCAGAACAATAATTTCCCAATTTCACAAACCGCCTTCGCTTGGTCAAATAACTTTTAATCCAATCTTCCTGTTTTTATGGTAGAGGTTAGGATTTAAAAACTTGCTGTTGTAAGTGATTTTCTCCGTGCCGTCCAGAGGATTGATTATTCCGGGTACCTCCTCGCCAAAAGATAGATGATCTATCCGATGGGAGAAGTTATACGCTGCAAAGCAAAGATGGGATTATCAGATACAACCAACAAAGTGGCGGGCTGACAGTCCATATATGGAGCTTTAATGTTTAGACTAAAAATATAAATCTGTATTTAATGATTTTTGTTCATTTTCTCTGACATTACTCATTATTATCAGAACCCTGTGATTTTGCAGGTAAGCCATTTTAAACTCACACTCGTGGCTGACAAAAGCTGCAATGTGTGCGTGGCCCTGGGGGTGGTGGATAGGCCTGAGGAAGATGACAAATAACTCAAACAAAGTCTAATATTGTGTCTTCTTTGCTTTTTTAAAAAATATAAAACAGTGTCTTACTTCCCAACTGTGATGTGCAGGTTTCCTGCCACCTTATTGACATAAACATGGCCGTGAATCCTGCAGGCATCGAGTGGTTCTATGGATGAACTCTCTCTGCAAAGATCACAAGCAAGCATTTAGCTTTTTGCCCCATAGGCTGGCGGTGTGAGTACACCAGAGGTTAATGTCTGGGAGAACCCAGGAGGAGGAGTACCGTGGCGGCAGAGCCGTGGGAGCTCCCTTCAGCAGAGTTTTATACGGGACTTCCTGCAGAGCGTGCTCCTCTCGCAGCCTGCTCTGTATGAGATGCAACGTCCTGCAAAACAAACGGAACCAAATGCAAAACTGCTAACGGCTCCCACGAGTGGAGTGTTGTCATGCAGGATTTAGTTGCTCCTGAGCAGCGCTTAATTTGTAAATCAAACGTTCCCGGAACACAAATACTGATGTCAAACCAAGGTTCACTAAAGGTAAAACAGATGCCGGTGTAACGTCGATATGTGTTCCCCCCTCGAGATCGGTTTCTTTTGCACCCAGCTGCGAGTTTGAACCATCCACTCGCAAAAAATGCGTGTCCTAACCCTTATCCTAACCATAACCCTGAAACAAACTTTTGTTTTCAAAAATTATATTTATGCAAAACACTATTTTTTGGTGCCAGGGGGGTTATGGTTAGGGTAAGGATTAGGGTGAGGGTTATTTCTTGTGATTGTGTCGTTTCCACTTGCAGGTGGGTGCAAAAGAAACAGATCTCGAGGGGGGAACACATATCGACGTAACACCGGATCCTCACAGACAGTTGCCGGAACGGTCCTTTCAAAATAAAATAGTTCCCAGATCTTGTTCTGGCAAGATCCAGCTCAAATATAGCCCTGCTCCTGAGTCTGAGAAACCACATCAAAAGTGAGAGAATCCAGTTTTACATTGTTTAAACGCCGTAGGTGTCGGCTCGCCATAACAACAAAACCAGCATTTCATCATCAGATATTCCCCAAACAACTTTAGAAAGAAGACTTTTGCCTTTGCTCACCTCTGCCACAGTCTCTGCTGTGGTGTCAGTTCAAAAATCACCTGATCACAAAGGAAGGAGCCGATTTAGAATAAACCCTAAAATCTTTGACTCTGCCGGAGCTCCGGTTCACTCACAGGCTGGTACTGCAAACCAGTGGAGGTGATCATGGTCTCAGCGAGGTCCAGAATGTCCGCTCCCACATCTGCAGCCAGAGGCAGGAAATGCACACATGAACTGATGTTGACATAAAAAATGTGTTCATCAGAGGCAGAGATGGTGGAACACCTACGCTGGCATTTCATCGCGACTGTGATGTCCACGTTTATTTTAAGTTTACTGTAACAAGAAAAAAAAGAGGAATCATGTTTTGTCTCATCTTTGACTTTTGATTAAAGACATCTGGAACTCACCTGGAAAAATCCTTGTCGACTTCATATTCGTACTTCATCCAAGTGTCTCGATAAACGAAGAATTCCAAGACGGCCAGAACTGCCATTGAACTGAAAGCTATGAGGGACACTGTGGGTGAAACAGAGACTTTTGTTGTTGTTTTTTTTTTGTTGTTGTTTGTTTGTTTTGAGCGGTTTTTGTGCTTTTTGAATCCAGAGGGACTTCTCACCTGTTCCTCCCGACGCCGTTGTCTCCATAAAGCTCTCAGACACTTTAGGGAAGGCATCCAGCTCCTTCACAAGACTCAGGGCTTTTTTTTTAGACAGACGCCTCATCTTTGAGGTCAGGACTGCTCTCCACCCTCTCCCAATAAAAAATAAAATACTAATTTAAGTAGGTCTAACAGTTTAATTAATGCGCAATCATTTAGCATGAGTCAAACTAGCTGCCTATTTATCACCAGTGGTGGATAAGGGTCTGTAGGAGAAACTGGGGCCACACAGACACTATGGGAACACTGTTAAACTTTCTGTTGCCATTTATTTATTTATATAAGAAATAAACTGGTGTTTGACTTTTAAAGCCACAAAAAAAAAAAACTGGTTTTACTCCCGTTTCTAAAAATGTTCCTGTAACAAATATCACAGCAAATGTTTAAACACACTTTGGATACTTTTCATATTTATTTAATTTTGATTAACTGTATTGTACAGCCTACATCTGTGAAAGGTGCTCTTAAATACATTTTACCTACTTATGCTAGATTTTTTAAAAAGCCTCCAATGAAAACATAATACAAACAAAAAAAACATTTCATTGTTTTCGTGTTTATATTTATCAGGATTAATTAGAAATGATATTAAGCGGGACTTGTAATAAATCCACAAACGCCGTTTAAAATATCTAATTCTTCTAGCTACAACAAATCTCCTTATTTTTATTTGCAGATATATTTTCAAGTTGATAAGATTTTTTTCTGTGATTTTATCAATGAAAACTCAGAATCTGAAATTGAAGCTTCATAATGAACTGCATTACTGACATTTATTTGTACTCGTTTATAATAATTTATTCATATCCAAACGTGGTTTAAACACGCACTATAAAAATAAAACTAAATGTTAACCTTGATTTCATGCTGATGGAGAAGAACAACATAGCGATTCAGTAAAATAACACCTGAATAAACTAACACACCGTGTTTAAACATGTTCGTACCTCTTTTATCATTTAGTTCGACCGGTTTCTCCGGAAGCCCCTCTGAAGCCGTGAATAACCTGCAGACAGCTGTTTTACTGGATCTGGACACAATTCATGATGCTACATAACAGGTGCCAGCTTCTTCCTGACGTAAATGTTACGTCAAGACGTAAGCAGGTGCGTAACGTTTCCAACAAGAAGTGACGCTTGTCTGCCAGCAGATGGCGCTCTGACACAAAACGTTTCACTGGTTTAAAAGGTTTAAAACCATCGACATGTATACGATATTAACCTTTATCTACCTCTATTTGATCAAATAAAAATAATTACCAATATAATTTAATATTAACAACTACATTTAATAAAAAACAGATGTGTAGAGAGAATAAAATGATAAAGTTTTATATTCGTTGTAACTATTGTAAATCGAATTTGCAAGTGTTTTATATTAATTTGATTTGTTTTATGTTTGCCATAAAAAATCTGTTTACTATATGAGATAATTCCCTCATGCATTCTATCAGGTTTTGGTTTTTCTCTCTATTAATTAAATTCACGACTTTTAGGCGCTGTTTATTTGCCACAATCATTATTGATTGGTGAAATTGAATGGTCTGAATACAAAACAAGTCAAATTATGTGCCTATTTTATCACTGAATTCCTCATCAATCCGTGTTGAGTAGATTAGCAAATACAAAAACCAAAACAAAGTTCAAAGATTTGTGGTGTTTGCAACATTTGAAACCTGCTCTTTTTCTATTATTACTTAATTTAAAATTAAATAAAAGTTTTGTTTGTGTAACAGTGTTAAATGTGGTTGTGAAGCGTTTACTGGGGTTTTACAATCTGGTGGTGCTCAAAGTGGTAAACACAGGTGAGGTGAGGTGAATGTACGCCTTCCAGTGGCAGAAAGCTGGAACTACTTTCTGTTTCTGTTGAAAAGCTGAAAAGCAATGGGGAAGGGGATTTGGCGCCCTCAAGTGGCAAAAAGCTGGAACTGTTCAAATGAACCCGCATTTAACCCCCTCACCCCAGTAGCTGAAATCCTGTTTGTTGTATTGTTTGAGTATTAACATTAAGAGGAAGGAACTAATTTTATGAAGTTACAATTGTAACTTAGTAGATACACTTTTTTAGTCTTTCAAAATAAAAGTCTAGGGCATTTTTGCATTAGCTACTGGCTCTAATGGCCTTTCTGTTTTTATTTAGCTAAAAACACAATTAAATGTGTATTTGCCTATGTACAGTCTATGGTATTTACGTAACAGTGTTAAGCACAATGGTTCTCATAGAGTTGCAGCATTTTAGAGTTTTTGGGTTCACCACCACCCACAACAAAATGTTGAAAATCAATTTGAACAAAAGGTTTTCACCAAATGGAACCAAGACTAAAAAGTAGATGTTTGAAGATAACACCTTATTTGATTTGTAAAACTTATTTATTTTATCAGATTTTTTTAAATCAAGTTATATATAAAATATTTTGGTTCAAAGGACAAAATAGAAAACAAGTAAAAATAAAAAACTGAATTTTAAAAATAACAGAGGAAGGTAGAGGAAATGCATTTTCAAATCACAAAAAATGCCTTAAAAACCTTCAAAAATGTATTTATGTTAGAGCAGTCCAACATAAATCCGGATAGTATTAAACTCTTGACAGTATTGTCCTCACATAAACTTGTCTTAATGGGGACCTTCTCGGCAACTAGCTGTATGGATTTGTGCAGCCGGCAGACATAAAGTTGCACCGCTCACACACAGCTGACATGACAGAAAACATATAGGGAAGACTTGGTAATTATCTATTTCAGCCTAGTGAGTCTGGCTCTGATGGTCAGTCCTGCACAAAGAAACTGTATACAACTTGCTGCAGGCTGAAAGTTAACCTAAAGGGGTTGGGGATGGGGGGGTTAGAATTATTTCTGCAGATGAACCACTTGAATGTTTGTTCTGTGCAGTGAGCACTCAGGAGGAGCTTCTGCATGCACCAGAGCTGCTTGTCTATGCAGAGCTGCACAGATGGGCATGTGGGGGGATGGGTGCTGTCAGATCACAGATCAAGCTGTGGGTCGGTGATCCCATTGCTATTCAGCACACAGGCACATTGGGCATGTCAGACATCCTCCATGGAGACATACTGAGCATCTTGTCGTTTGATTTCTTATGCATCTCTGAACTGCACGAGTTTATTTTTTCTGTACAATGTGCATTTGCATAAATGTTCAGAAATGGGCTCTTATGTTAAAGATCTAGCTTTATTTGCAGTAAAATTGTATTTTCATTTGTTTTTGATAAGTTAGAGCTGTTAATGCACATTTGCATGGAGACAATTCAACTGGATGTGAGCAAAAGCACCTCATTTGTACGAATTCCACTTTTTTAATCTTAAATCAACCTTCACCACCTTCATTTCAGTGATCTATTAGGTTAAAATGTTCATCTGAGCATGCCTTTTAAATGTCTGAACAGATTATTCAGATACATGCATTCATTTTTATTGTTTTTTTATTTTGCAATTTATAAGACCAGAGGTTCAAAACAAATGTTTTTACATGTACCGAAGTGTGTTATTTTTCATGATATAATGAATTAGCTTGAAAATATTCTGTCAAAACATTCCATTCAAATTTCGCTAAATTTAATAAAAATAAAATATAAATTAATAAATCAAAATTACTACACATACCTATCTGTTATAAAATGAAAACATAAGAAATGTTACCTCACGTTTTTCTGAGAGTCAAAAATGATCAGAATTTAGGATACAAATGTATGATGTGGCTGCGCAGTGGCGCAGTGGTTAGAGCTGTTGCCTTGTAGCAAGAAGTTCCTGGATTCGCTTACCGGCCTGGGATCTTTCTGCATGGAGTTTGCATGTTCTCCCTGTGCATGCGTGGGTTCTCTCCGGGTACTCCAGCTTCCTCCCACAGTCCAAAAACATGACTGTTAGGTTGATTGGTCTGTCTAAACTGTCCTTAGGTGTGAGTGTGTGTGTGCATGATTGTTTGTCCCGTGTGTCTTTGTGTTGCCCTGCGATGGACTGGCACTCTGTCCAGGGTGTTCCCGCCTGATTGCCCGTTGACGCTACAAAGCGGGTTCAGAAAATGGATGGATGGAAATGGATGATGTCTGAAATTGACGAGAAAAAAGGTATAGTGCATTAAGTTTTTTGTTTTTGCCTGGGTGTACTGAAAATGATGCGATGTGTGTGTGTGTGTGTGTGGGGGGGGGGGGCGTGTTTGCCCGGAGGGGCCCCATCTATGAACGCACTTTACTGCACACATGGACAAGTATTCCTGGATCTTATTTTTATTTCCCTTTAAAGTCACCAGTTGAATGTCGAGACGGTCAAACCCAGTATAAGGACACAAAGGCACAAGAACAATACCATTAAGTCATTCCTTCCTAGGAAATGAAAGTTTCTCGTGCATTGTCGGTGTGCTCCCCTACACGGCCAGATGGAAATGCATAATTTGGAAAGTGACGTCAGGATGTTGTTAGCGCTCGGCTCTCTCTCTCTAACTCTCGAGTATTTTCGGCTGTTTTCGGATTTTAGGTTAAATCCTCGCTTGCTTCGTTCCTGCCTTGTTTGGGGACAGTAGGAAGATGGCGGCGGCCCCGCTGTACTGTGTCTGCCGGCAGCCCTACGATGTGAGCCGGTTTATGATCGAGTGTGACATCTGTAAGGACTGGTTTCACGGCAGGTACGTGGGTTAGCGTGTCTTCAGTGGATGTCGCTACATAGAGCCTAGAAACACGGATGCTTGTTAAGGGAAGTCGACGATTCTCTAAGCGGTGTTGACTGGTAGCTAAGTTAGCTCGCTAACGCTAACGGTGGGCGACAGGGGTTTTAAACCGTCTATTGACACGACTTAACCAGCGAAAGCAGGGTTTTGTTTTCTTTTATTTCGTCTCGAAATAGATAAATTAACACAAACATGACACTTAACACACTACTTGTGAATTATCTTCTGAATTACCGCGATAGTTAACGGTATATGCTGCAAATAGTAGATAGTTTTAATGTGGGTATTTGTTAGGCAGAGCTGTGCCAGTCAGCCCGAGAGATCAAAAGCTTAGCTGGATCAATCGTGACACACAAAGCTCGCATATTTGTCCTCGTAGTTATCCTAGAGTTTTTCACGGTGTTTTTGTTGTGATTAAATAGATTACGACCTGGATGAACCAGACGCAGCGTCAGTGCGAGTCCCAACTTTTTATCTAGCCACGCTTTTCAAGGAAACCAACCGTTAGACCCGCACTTGAAACTTCAACAACAAAAGCGATATATACAGTTTTGGCATATTTGGATGTAATCCGTTGCCAAATTATTCCGTTTTTTTTTTAGTTTGGTTAAATTAGAAAGTGTTTTTCAGAATGAAAAGTAAACTGGAGAGAACATGGATTTTGTTATGGTCGGGGTTTGATTGACAGCTTGAGAAATTTAAATCCCTCTTTCAAACAGTGGAGCCGCATGGCAGGGAGCCCCTAGTGGTAGACGAGGGAGGTATTTAAAGGTACCAAGCAGACATTTCTCTATTGTTTTTGTTTTAAATCAGACTTAAATTTGTATTAAAAAATTATATTTACATTACATGATGGGACAGCAGTAGCTCAGAAGGTAGAGCACGTTCTCCAGTAATCGGAAGGTTGCAAGTTCGATCCTGGCTCCAACCAGAGAATGCTGCTGTTGTGTCCTTGGACAAGACTCTTAACCCACCTTGCCTGCTGGTGGTGGTCGGAGGGACCGGTGGCACGTGTTTGGATCTGTTGCTTCTGTCAGTGCAGCTGTGGCTACATCGTAGCTCATCTCCATCAGTTTGTGAATGGGTGAATGACTGATTGTGTTGTGAAGTCCCTTGGGGGGTTGTAGAACCCTAAGAAGGCGCTATACAAATACAGGCCATTTATAATTTACTATAACAGATTTTAAATGGGCCCTTGTTGTGAAAGATAATAGTTCATGGGGTGTGTGGGGGTATGTACAACCATAACGGTAATTTTTGGGACTAATCTTGTGCACACTGAGTGTGTTGACCACACCAAAATGACCCTCTTTGCTGTACAGAATGGAGTTTGAATTCAAAGTTTAGGTAAATCCACACTGGGACAATCAAAGAGCTATGTGCCCTGGATGGTGTGACGTTCTTAAATCAGGATTATGGACTGTGTATTATACCTTTGACTTAGTGCTTTTTTATCTTTGTGGCCCTGAGGCTGACCTAGACGATTCGTCGACTCATCTTGTGTGGGTGCATGTCCACAGCAACTGTTTATGAACACAACAGTCTGTTTTTACTCGTGTCGAAATGACGGAGGTCGTTGCGTAACCACTTTAAGATTGCTGCCAAAAAACTTGGCAGGCACAATTTGTAGCATGTCGAAGCCAGAAAAGACGAGCTGTGTGTCATGTGCCAGCACGAATAGGAACAAACGTTCGAGCTTCCCCCATTGATGACTAATAGGCACAAACACTGGAGGCGGACCTCCAAAAACCGCCACATTTCCAGTCTCTTTCCCACGAGGCTGGCCAGAAGGAAAGGGATATTCTCTGGCTGTGGATGATGGCATGTCGATGGAGTGGAAATGACAGGAACCCTGGCTCTCACTGCCTGTTTCCCAATGTGCTAGCTGAGTTTGTTTGGGGGACTTTTGTCTCGTTGCCTCAGTTTCTGGATAATGCCCTGTTTTCCATTACATCTATCTTTCACAATCTCTTTACACAGTGCAACCCGTGATTTTCACGGGGGTGTACACACTGACAATCAGAAGTCTATGGTTTATCAGTGCCAGATGAGTGAAGGGTCAGCAGGGAGTGGAAAAGTGTGTATTTGACTTGATGTACTCCTCTGTTGGATTATAAACAATGTACCAAAGCTGACCTGTGTGAGTTTTCTAAAGCTGTGTGTGTGTGTGTGTGTGTGTGTGTGTGTGTGTGTGTGTGTGTGTGTGTGTGTGTGTGTGTGTGTGCGTGTGTGTGTGTGTGTGTGTGTGTGTGTTGTATGTTGACAGACCTTTGCTTCAAAAGTCTAGTTTATTTTTGTTTTATTGATCGCTGATCTACCCTGCAGCAAAGCATCGCACGTCACGGATCCTGGGAAGGGGTAAAAAGTTATTTGAGGAGTAATATTTTTCAGTTTCTGCTCACTTTCTGACCTCTTACCTTGGGTTTTGTCCAGATGCATATGCACCATGCAACACGAGTAAAGCACAATACACCGCTAATGGCCATCATTCTAGTGAAATGGGTTTGTTTCCACTGAGGGGTGTGCTTCAGATGCATCCCAGAAACGGTGTCTTTACACCATGAGTCTTTTTTTTTACTCGCTATGCAGTTCAGATCAGGCCAGACAGGAAATCAATCACGAGTGCAGTGTAAAGCATCTGTCAAGTTTCAAATAAGACCCGATTTTCTATTTCTTAACTATAAAAAATACGTCCTTACCTGTGACACCACCTTGGTGGAGGTAAAAAGAGCAGATGATAAACCACAGACCTGTAGGATGCTTGCTGCAACCTTTCTCGGGGCAGCTGTGGCTACATCGTAGCTCATCACCGGGAAGTGAATGTGTGTGTGTACGGGTGATTGACTGATTGTTTTGTAAAGGGCCTTGGGGGGGGGGGGTTCTAGGACTCTAGAAGGGTCTATATCAAATACAGGCCATTTGGGCAAAGGCATAATCTTGATTCACAAGTCTGGCGTTGCGGCTGCTAAATTTCCACAACGCCATGCCGCCACGGCAATTTCTAAAGACACACTGCGGCGGCAGTATAATGCTGATTTGCCGGCACAGTGTGTCTTGTGAAAGCAGCTTCTGATTCAGATTACAAATTGTTCTTTTGATTTGTTAGAATCTGCCTCTAAATCTGTTGTTTTCTGTGCTTTATGAAAGCCAAGTTACTTCCACACAGTGGGCCTTCTGGTAATTACAAACCTCAACAAGTCCGATCACAGTCTTGATGTCAACTCCAGTCGGTCCCATTGTCTGATCTAGGTGCAGACAGTGGGGGGATGATAGACCAGCAGTGCTCGATGGGACAGGAGGAGTGATTGATGGGAGCTTCAGTGAACCAAGTTCAATGCACAATCTGTCAATGTCACACAGAGTGTGAGCACACTAAAGAGAGATGGATTGCCCCTACAGAGTGCTCTTAGTATTTACGCCAAGTTTAAGAGGATATATAGACAAGTTGGATGATTTCTAGAGAGTTGTTGTCGTCCGTGATGGAGATGTTTTATTTCTTTTATGTGGCCGAAAAAAGTCGAGGCATACTTAAAGTTCTTGTGTTTACATTTATTAGCATGGTAGTGACTCTGCAGGATAGGAAGACCACATTGCATTTACTTTGATCAACATGATTTAGTGGTAAAAAGCCCAATTATTAATTTGTAGTCAGTTTAAATTGTGATATCAAAATGATGGTGTTCAATGAAGTTTAAAAGTCGAAGACATACAACTAGCGCTGCCACGACTGGTCGATTCGTCACGATGACATCAACAAACAAAACAGTCGACTAAATGTCGACGGTCGTAGCCGTTTGTTCTATGAGCATTTTTAAAATCTCGCCTGCTGCGGCACCTTCGGCGGCTGCTTTCTGCCGTTTCTGCCTTACTGCTCAAGGCACATGCGCAGTAGTGGCCACTCAGATCAGCCTTCGAATCCGAGTCACCAGAGAAAGAAGACATCATGGCGAGTCGGCAACGTAGCTCAAAAGTTTGGAAGCATTTTACAAAGACTAAAGAAGCACATACAGTGCAAAATCTGCACGAGCACCTTAAAAGGAAGCACATCACGGCAGAAAACAAAGAGTCACCTCTGTAAGCTAACTGCCTCTTGTTAGCCGCTAACATCAACGGATTACTTGTATTCATACGTGTAGCAACAACAGTAGTGATGGTGATTTTATTACCTTTAGATGTTTATTTGTCACGTATTTGCTCTAATGTTGCAAACATGAATTATTTATTTTATCCTGCTACGTTAGTGTTAAATAAGCGCTCCTCCTCTTCAGTGGACGAGTTTGTTACAAAGCCAAAAATGACTATTTTAGCACGAGTCGTTTTTGGTTTTACGTGCCCTACCTCCATGTGACTGTAGCATTTGTATTAACAGGTTACAAAGTTAATTAAAAGTTGTTTGATAAGTGATCATCTTGCCTTTATTATTAGATGGCACTAGGGTTGTCACGGTATGAAAATTTAACCTCACGGTTATTGTGACCAAAATTATCACGGTTTTCGGTATTATCGCGGTATTTTTTAAACGGTGTTGCATATGTTCAGAAAGCATTGATAGTCCTGTTCTACACAAACTGAAATAGTTTTGAAAAGGTTTAACAGCGTTTATTAAACCTAAAATAACACAAAGCCTTAGCAAAAGTGCAACTTTTCACAAGTAAAGGAACAAATAGCTTCTTTTTCTGGAACGTGTTACAGTAGTCAGTGCAGGTTTAAATTATACAAATCCAAACATTCAAAACATAAACAATATGTAAACAAATCAAAGAAACACCACTTGTTTTCTCATATACTTGTTTTCTTCATTATCAAAATGAAAATCTAAAACTCCAGTCCACACTTGACTGAGTCAACCTTAAAAAATATGTATTTAAAATAAATAGCCACTTTAAACAAATTACTAAAATAACTACTACACTATGTAATCAAATCCAAATGTTCAAGTATAAATGGCATTGAATAAG